TAAACGTACATCCATCATCCTCTTTCCATCCACCGACCGGACAATGACTACTCCACGTTGAATCTTCGTTCTCGTTCGCGTTGGTGTGCACTAAAACAAGCTGAGAAATACCCGTTGCACGTTCACAAGAAAACAATAGGTGAAAGCAAATGCTACGTCGAGAAATGAGAACTCGAACCCTGTTTCTATTAATATGAAATAGACCTTTATTTAGGGCTTTGCTTGCTCAATCTGGGTGGTCAGGTAGGTGACATGGGACCATGTCAGTCTAAAACAGGGGTCGGCAACTCATTCGATCCCGCGGGCCGGATCGTGTTATAACGACGGGTCGCGGGCCGGACGAAGGCCATTAACGAAAAATTAAGGAAAATTACATATGCAGACCCCTGTCAACCTAAATATTTAAAACCATAATGAAAATAAACATTGAGAAATCAGAAAAAACAAAAGAAAATCTAAAATTAAAAAACACCTAACAAAAATAACTTTTCCTCGAGGAACGTCAAAATACTTCAAAATAAAAAAAATCAACCGAAGTGAAATGGATGAAATTAGGTTTGAAACTGTTATTGAAAATTGTTCCACAAACGAACCACACACACACACACACACACACACACACACACACACACACACACACACACACACACACACGCACGCATCAAACAAAAACGTAGGTTGCCGACCCTTGGTCTAAAAGCTCGACTCTTCTCTTCTCGCCTGCTAACATTCCGTCCATTTAAACACCACGACATATGCCTAGCAACGCGAAAGGAAATCATCAGAATTACGAGAGAGAGAGAGAGAGAGAGAGAGAGAGAGAGAGAGAGAGAGAGAGTATATCTCTTCCGTTAAGAGCAAACTAAACTGACTTTTTCGATCCTGACTATGGCTTTTAATCTAGACCAAGAAACCGGAAATCAACCATGTCCGGTTTGTTGTCGCTTGAACTCAAAAGTCGTTATCTACTCATTTTCTTTTGTTCCTCTTCGGTCACGTCGTTGCCGCTTAGAAGACACGATTTCAATGACTCCGTCCGCCGGTTACAAAACGGAAACATTTGAGATCGAGATAAAATTGGTTTCCTCTCCTGAACTTTTATTAATAAGTTTTATTTTTAATTTTTAAAATCATTTCTCCCCAAGGAAGGCAATAAAGTCACTAAGACGCAAGTGGGAGTGAAAGAGAATGAGAAAATCAGTGAGGAGAAAGCGCAATAAAAGCAGGATTCAACAAGACAGAAAATGGCATTTGGCGTTGCATTTAAATCTTTGAAGATTGTAGTTGGCAGGGAAGCAAGAAATAGGAAGGGAGTTCTACAAGAAAGTAGTGCGAGAAAACATTCTTAAATGAAAAAAAAATGTCAAAAATTAATAAGAGACAGATTTGATGAAACATTTATAAAACATATTTTCTCAAAATAGAAAATATATAAAATTTCATACTATTTACATTATTCGGACTATTGTCCTCATCTTGCCATATTTATCACAACGTTTCGGCCGTTGTACGCTCCGACCTTCTTCAGTTGGTTAGAATGTCGAACTGACCTTTTATTTCACTCGCTGGGGTAGACTGTTCTGGTTCCACGTGCCATGTCTAATGAATATCAGTTATCAGTTATCTCTTGTTAATCCACAGTGGATAAAGGTGTTGTTTAGATGATCCAGTGATAGAACCCAAAGAGTTGCGAGTTCAATACCTGGTTAAGGCAGTAGAGAACTTGGAGGGAATTAACAGGAGATAACTGATAACTGACATCTATTTCTCTAAACTAATTGTTGAACATAGACTAGTCCATTCACTATGAATATGACGTCTACTCATAGGAACAAGGTACGCAAACCGTAGCGTTGTGTCGTACACATTACAGCAGTGAACTACAGTATTCGTTATTATTGTATTATTATTAATTCATGTCCCTCATGTTACTAAATCTTTTCTTCACTAATATTTTGTTCCAATGTTTTCCTTACAATATTATTAACCAGAAACCACGAGTTTATATGAGGATTATACCATAGTTCATATAAAATTCCCCACAAAATGACAACATTCAAGCCCGTCCAAAATCGTCCAATGAAAACGTTGTGACGACAGGAATGTGTAAATAAGTAGCTATATCAATTAAGTCCACAGCAGATTTAAATAAATAAAATACATTTATCGTTAAAAACAAATAATTTCTAACGTAATCTCTTTCTTTGACAGGGCACTTAATTAACTGGTGAATTTTAATACTATATGTCAGAGGTTATACCGTAAAGAAGCCAGATTAAAATTCAGATAAGAAATCCGTGTCAAATTACAGATTTTTTGATTCACCGTCGGAGAATTGTTTCACTGCACAGACGAGCTATTTTAATCTCTCGCTTTTGCTTCGTCTTAATCGACACGTAAATTCGTCTTTAGATGTTTAAGAGCGACTAAATCGTATGCTGAATTTATCTGGGGAGTGCCTTAACAACACAAGAACTCTATATTTTCAACATTTCAAAATTGAGTTCACTTAAAGCTTTTTATTTAACGAGTGTCTTGGAACAATTTTATTTCTCACAACGTAAGTACTGTATTCAGTAGCCGAGAACTTTTT